TGAACTGAACTAGTTCATTTTAAAATGTGTGAACTGAACTTTGAACTAGTTCACGTAGAAAGAGAACTTTCCCAACACTGAATATATGTGGTTGAAGTTATACACATTTGCAGTTAATTCAACCCAAAATTTGGGTATAATATTTTAACCAATTTGTTGGGTTATAATGGACCACCCCATCTTGCTGAGTTAAAATCCACTAGTGCTGGTCGGTGCTAAAATAGCCCAACTGCTTGGCTTGAAAGAACCCAGTTTTGGTAATTACTGACCTACTTGTTTTTAGAGGCGGAGATTAATGTTCTAAAAAATCAAAGCATCCTGCCCAGATTGAAATAAATTCAAAAACTGATGAGCGTTCAAAAATCTTTAAAGATGTTTGAGCAAATACTCTGTTGTTGACTGACAAGATGTTTTTTTTGTTTGTTATTTTAAGCTGTATAACATTTCAATTTTCTCATAAAGCTAACACAGGTCGAATAATGATACCTATAACCTGACATGGTGGTGGCAATGTGACGGTCTATAGCTGCTTTGCTCCCTCAGAGCTTGCTCTGTTCCCAAATCCTGAAAATATATAAGTAGGTACCAGTTTGTTATATTTTTCTCCAATGGACTTGGGTCAGGCAGTCAGATAATAAACCAAACTGATAAATATCCCTGATGGGGACAATATTAACCTTACCAAAAGAGAAACATGCTTGCTTATTTGATATCACAGGTTTTTTTTTACTAATAGCAAATAGTTCAACAGACATAGTACAGAATGCACATTATCTCTGCAGATGGAGTGAAAGTTGAACAAACAAACACAAAATACTGCATCCCATTTATTGTCTTCCTTCCCCGCCTCCTGGTGCCAAACTACATGTTTTAAAGGAATCTCTCCCCTCCTTTTGTTAAACAGAGGTGTCTGTTACCAGAGCCCATACAGATTAACAACCCACAGACAATCAGCACCTTGAGGATGTCTGGTCTTCTGTTTTATCTAACTAGCAGGTAGCATCCACACTTTAAATGTCACAGGGTCCTGGAATATTCCAAGCACTACAGTTCCAATGCTTTATGATTATCACAAAGAGCACTATATCTGTACTTATTTATTATTACAAAATATAAAAGATCTTAACAACAAAAATTTTCAGCCTCACCTCAGTAGCTCAGGAAAATAACACGAAAAAAATAAAAAAAATAAAAGTTGTTGTTTTTTTGTAGCTGTCCAATCAATTAAAACCAATTATAGTTCTTTCTTAAACAAGGAAGTCATGGTCAAAAATCAAACCACTCAATATGTGACCTAATAAAAAATATTATTCGAGGAGTGGGTGAATTTATTTTAACCTAGATGGAGGTTGGTTTGGATACATTCCCTTTAGTCCTTTATTCTTGAAATTTGGAAAAAAATTACAAAAAAAATTACAATTTTTTACCTTTATTTTCTTTTTTTGATTTTATAATTTTTTTGATGACCCAAAACCAGTAACCATGTCAAACAACTTAAACTATGATGTCTTGATAGCACTGTACCTTCAGGTGTGCAGGAAGTCAATTAACTTTTCACAGACTATACTTGGCATGATTTTTCTTTAGTGGGACGGCATGGTTTTGTCTGGTTTTGAAACATTTTTATTTTTCAAGTTGGATCAGCTTGACTTGACTCTAGTATGCTTAAGGTTCTCTTTTAAAACCTTAAATCTTAACTTTTATACAGGATGTTTGTTCATTTTCAGTGTTTCTTTAGTGGCAAAAATCTGTGATCATTCTGGTGAGGGAATTGTTGGCTGAAAAAAAGTCCCCAGTCTATGGATGCTGCAGGCTCAGATTACTTGCTATGAAGCAAATGGCTTTATTTGATTAAGAAGCTTCAGAGGATGAGTCTGTGGATTGAAGGATTTGCTCAGTGCTTGGTGCAATTGTCTTTGGATCATAGCCACAACAATTTGAATCCTCTGAGCATTCTATGAGTCTGCTAGCCATGAGCCTTATCGTCTGCCCTCACATCTTTGAATTGCATCAGACATTAACCTAGATCAGAACTCCCGTTCCTCAGAAATGAGTCTCTTGCCTGCAATGAGAGCTGTGAAGCTCTGATTGCTAAATCAACAGTTTAAAATCACTGAGCTTGGGCATATTGCCTAAATCGGCTTTATCCTTGTTTTGGGGTTTGTGCCCTTAAGCCAACTCAACGTTTTATTGTAACTGGATTTGCAGGATAGAGCTGTTTGTAATGTCAGTCTACAGAGCTTGTTTCTCACATGCAAGCAAAGCTGGTTTAGGATAGCTGGGTTTGTGAAGTGTGATACAGCATTATAGTATATTATAGGAACACCATCGTTACTGTGTTTAATTTGTAACAAACACTGTAGGCTGGTGGAATATCTTAGATATCTGCAAAGTCTCCTGTTTGGGTCAAGTTTGTACAATGTAAACTGGAGGATCTGCTCTTCTGCTGCTATCATTAAATGTTACCA